GGAAAGGTCCTAAGGTAGCAAAAGTCTTTGACAGGTAGGCAATACTTCGTATCTTTATCGAGTGTGAGAAGGGTTTCGGAACCTGGATCGATTTGTATACTATCGGGGTCTGATGCCTTGGACAAGGTCTGGAGACCCCATACAAGACTCTAAAGGGCCTCGAGGCACTAGCAAACTATTAGGGAGCTAGGTAGGTTTGTCGTAAAACAACGCCCCTTAAAATGGGCTCATGTCCCGCCTGTTTGGTGCTTTGGACGGACCAAGCCCGTTTATGAAATCCACATAAGGCCTTGGTCATCGTAAGACTGCAGACATGCAGTCGGGTTGCAAACTGGGCGTTCTGAGGCTCGACAGTTGTAAAGTGGGGATTCTCACATCGAAAACAATTTCTGCGGTAAACTGGGGCTTCTGGTTGTAAAATGGGGATTCTGGTTGCAAAGCGGGTTAATCTCGGGGCCCCCCTGGCCTAGGGGCCCTGGGACCCCCCAAAAGGCCAGCCCATTCCAGATTGAGGACGTTGGGGTTCAAGGTTTTGCGTTATTCAGGCACCAGTACTGGTAGTAGGGAAAACGTGTTCCGGCACCGGGCCGTGGGTGCTACCGTTCTCCCGGCTGCAGGAGGCGGGCGAGCGACCTGTGTGGGTCGACTTGCGAAGTAGAGGTCGAGGGGCTTAAGCCGCTCTGTTAGGGGGGTGGCCTAAGCCTTGAGTTTAGGGATTGGGGTTTAGGGTTTACTGTTTAGGGTTTCGGGCACCTTGCTCTCTGCACCCCTGATGCTTCGGCTGGCGAACCAAGTGCAGTAGGAACGCAAAATCTACGAAACTTGGCCGCAGGGTTCGGGCTCCCCAAACCCCGAAACCCTAAACCCTAAACCCCTGAAGCCCTAAACCCGAAACCCCGAAACCCTACACCCTAAACCCCCGAAGCCCTAAACCCTAAACCCGAAACCGCGAAACCCTAAACCCATCTTCAGGGCCGGAGCGTGTGAGTGCGACATGCAAGCCCCGAAACAACAGCCGCAAGCCCATCTTTTAAAAGGCATAAACATACGTCTAAACCACAAAGCCAAGAACCCCTAGACCCGAAAACCCTATTGCAACAAAGCGTAGAAGCTACCGAATCCGCCTAAACAAGACTTTATAGTAGAAGCCAGAAAGTTGGAACATGATTCTCCTCGTGCCCTTAAGCTTAAAGTACAAGGGATCCTCGCACTAATCCTCCGAAACCCATGTTCCAGCTTTCTGGGATTTGCTGTACAGAAACCCAAGACCGTAGACCCTAAACTCTGAAACCAAATCGAAACCCCAAGCCGCAAAGCCGAAAACCCCAAACCCTAGACCCTAAGCCCGAAACCCTAAACCCTAAGTCCTGTGGATCACCGATAGATCCCTGTAAGATGAACCCGATAGGGCTCCCCTCAGCCTAAAACTCTCAACCCTAAACCCTAAACCGCAAACACTCAAATGACCCCAAGCCCCAAGTCTGTTCAGGGCTTCGGGTTTAGGGTTCGGGGTTTAGGGTTTAGGGTTTCAGGTTTAGGGTTTAGAGTTTAGAGTTTAGGGCTAAAAAAACCCTGAACCGAAAGCGTTCAGATGTGGCGCCAGCGTCGCAAAGCAGCAGACAAGGCAAAGCTTCAAGTTCGAGTCGAGGACCTCCAGGGTTCGACTTTAGGGTTTTGGGTTTGGGGCTGAGGGTGTAAGTTTAAAACTGAGGGTTTAGGGTTGAGGGTTTAGGGTTGAGGGTTTAGGATTGAAGGTTTAGGGTTTAGGGAATAGGTTCTATACAGAGGGTGCTATAATTAGGCTTCTTGCACAAGGGTTCTATGATAAAGGCTAGGGCTTTAAGGGTTAGGTTTAGGGTTGAAAATAAAGGTCTTAACGATTAGAATGGGGTCTTGGGGGCCCCTTACTCGAATTGTAACAAAATGATCCCCCAACATCCTATTCTATTTATTCGAGCCCCTATTTGAAGGGTTAGGGTTCAGGGTTTGGGGGAGGCTTAGGGTTCAAAGGTTTGGGCTTTCAGGGGTTTGGGATTTAAGGGTTTAGAAGTGGAGGGGTCAGGAGTAAAGGGTTCTGTAATTAGGGTTCTGTCATAACGGTTCTATGATAAGGGTCAGGGTTGGGGTTTGAGGCTTAGCTTCTTTGGGGGGGGCCGGGTTTCGTGGTTTTGGGTTTAAGGGCTTAGGGCCAGGTTTAAGGGTTCAGATTTACGGGTTTAGGGACTGGGGCTCGGGGCTTGGGGTTAAGGAATCTCCTGGATTCGGAAATGGGGTGTAGGGTTTAAGGTTTAGGGCTTAGGGTTGGGGGCTTTGGGGGACCCTAAACCCTAAACCCTAAACCCTAAACCTTAAACCCTAAACCCTAAACCCTAAACCGTAAACCATAAACCCTAAACCCTAAACCCTAAACCCTAAACCAGCAGCTGCCGTTGAGGAGTTC